TTTATAGTTTATTAAAAAGTAAAAGATATAAAGTTCTTAAAAGCAAAAATATTGTTATAAAAGATCAATACAAAACAACACTTTGAAGCATGATCCAAAAAGGCACCAGCAAGTCAAAATCCCATGAGAACATGACTGAGTCCTGAGACCATGAACACAAGAACTGTAAGGTAATCCAGACAAGCATTGTATTGTATTTCCTGATGCCAATGTAGATGTCAATGTGAATTCTGAGGCCAATTTAGATGATGATGGTTTGAGTAGTGAAAATCCTACAGCCTTGGAAAGTGAAAGTCAGAATTCCCATGAGAACATGCATTCCGAGCCGAGTGGAGACATTTCACTCCCTTTTCCTCCCAGTCTTAGTTTTCCAGAGAATCTGACACCTGATCTCCCTAATGAGGATGGGCAGGGGAAGATTTGGCAGAGCCGGGGTGAAGCACAAAGTTTATGTAGGTCAGCCAGATTGAGAGAAATGCAAACAAAATCTTCAAGCGTGTCTTGCAATAGATTTCTCGGCCTTAAGTATGCCTGCTCTGAATGCAGCTTCAGACCAGGCATCGTTCCAGATTCATGTGCAAGCTTTTCCAGGTCTCCTGATTCAAGTGGCCTTCGGAGGTTTTCTAGTTGTTCCAAGTACGGTTAGTGGATTGCTAACAGGTTCCAGGATTCAGCAGTTTTGCTGTGGATTTCATGATCTTGTTTGTGGACATTTCTTGTTCCTGATTTTTTCTGTGACTTTTTTGCCTTTGCATATTTCTTTTATTTTGTATTCATCTTTCATCAATAAAAAAAGGATTGTTTTCCTGAAGTCAAGTGTGGTGGATTGTTGTCCGAGGGTCCAGTTTCCTGCTCTGGGTTGCAACAAGGGGTGCTTTGTGGAACTACAGAAAGCTAGGAGAGATGCCATGTTGTTACGGTAAGTCCTTGCAGGACACAAGTATATGTGTGAAGAAAAACCTTATTGTTTGTAATTATCTTGTTCAGCTGACTAAGTAGGTCAAGCAGCAATCTTGTGCCACGCCCAAGGGGCTATAACTGAGGTTTTTGGTGGGCTGCTGCTGGAGTTTTGTTTCACCAGTGTGGAGTACCAGTGAGGGATGCTGACGGTGAAATAGCTATTTACTTCAGGTTGTTATGATTTCCATTTGCTGCTTAGAAGATGCTTTATTTTATGCATATTACAAAGACTAATGTAAATATGTTGCACTGCTGTTTTTTGTGTGAAGCATTGCCAGTTTTGTTTTATCTCTGCAAAGTTAAGAGAGTAAAATTTTTCTGTTTACCTTGACTACTGGTCTGAGACTATTTTGCATCTGGGTTTTTGTGCGCTGCGTAACACACGTTTCCTAAGCAAGGTAGAAAAACATTGCTATCTTCTGATACTGAGTTGGGCAATAGGGCTGGGCGGTTTCGTTCGTTAATTTCGTAATTCGTTATTAATTCGTATATAAATCAGCTTACGATCCGATATTGAGCCATGCAGGAATAGTGTGAGGAGTAAATTAGATTCGAAACAATTTTTTCAATTTATTTCGTAATTATTTCGTTATTATTTCGTATTTTTTTCGTAATTATTTCGTAATTATTTTCGCATGTCTGGTGCAAGTTTTATAGTTGTTGTTTGTTTTCTCACACCAACAGTCAACAACAGAGGGAGAGGGAAGCTTCAGAAGTTCCCCCTGTCCCATTTGGAGGGTTTTTTTAGCATATTGCGCAATCGCGTCCGCCATTAACGAATCGATTCGAAATTAACGAAATTTCGTAAATAACGAAACTTTGAAATCTCAAAATTTCGGAAGTATTTAGAATTTGGAAACGCTAGCGCTCCCTGGAAACGAATCGAGTTTAGAAACAATTTTTCCGTGGTTACCCAGCCCTAATTGTTACCCATCTTTAACCCACAAATACCAAGAAGGTAGGAAAATCCACAAGAAAAAAGATGTTTCAAAGTCAATTATTAAAAGTAATAACCAAAGAATATAAAAGGAACGGCAACCCATTAGAAAGAGGTCAATAGATCTCAAACATGCTTCCAACACTGTCTCTTGCATGCAACCAATTTCAACCCTGCTGTGATAGGCATCTAGGGCAACTCCAAAAGATATTTGCAAAATGGAGGAGGTCGAGGCATTAACATCCAGATCAACGTGAAGACTAGCAAGGTATTGGCCAATATTCCATGGAAGTAACTTCTCTTGATTAGACCCTCTCGCTTTGGATGCGAGAGGTCCTAGGCTAATATCCCGGACGAGCCCCCATAACGTCTAACCCATCCCAAAAAAATGCCAGGCATGTTCCAATCACTCTCCAAATGCACTTCCTTCTCCCCACAAGAAGTCGACTTATATAAGGAAGTCAACGTATACATGAAGTCAACTTACACCTGAGTAAGTAATGTAGAGTAAGTAACTTCTCTTGGGCTTACTCTCAACCATCTCTACTGGGCATTGGCTGCATGGGGAGAAGAAGGTATATCGGAGTATGGAGGTAAATGGAATTTCCATTGGGTTTGGGAGCCCAAGAGAAGTTACTTACTCTACATTACTTACTCAGGTGTAAGTTGACTTCATGTATACATTGACTTCCTTATATAAGTCAACTTCTTGTGTATGCTGATTTCTTGTGTAAGTCAACTTCATGGATACATTGACATCATGTATACATTGACTTCATATGGAAGTCGGCTTCATGTATACGTTGACTGCATGGATAAAGTCAAATTCATCTATATGTTGACTTCATGTGTATGTTGACTTCATGTAAAAGTCAACTTCATGTGTACATTGACTGCATGTATAAGTCAAATTCATGTATACACTGCCTTCATGTGTATGCTGACTTTGTGTGTAAGTTGACTTCATGTTTGTTCATGTATACATTGACTTCATATGTACGTTGACTTCATGTATATGTTGATTGCATGTATAGAACAAACTAATATGTAGTTGACTTCTTTATATAAGTCAACTTCATGTGTATACTGACTTCATGTGTAAGTCAACTTCATATGTTTGATGACTTCATGTATACATTGACCTCATGTATACACTGACTTCATATGTAAGTCGACTTCATGTACTCATTGACTGAATGTGTAAGTCAAATTCATGTATATGTTGACTTCATGTATTCGTTGACTGCTTGTATAAATCAAATTCATGTATATGTTGACTTCATGTGTATGTTGACTTCATGTAAAAGTCAACTTCATGTAGACAATGACTGCATGTATGTCAACTTCATGTATACACTGCCTTCAGGTGTATGCTGACTTTGTGTGTAAGTTGACTTCATGTGTTTGTTCATGTATACATTGACTTCATGTGTACGTTGACTTCATGGATATGTTGACTGCATGTATAGAAAAAACTAATATATAGTTGACTTCTTTATATAAGTCAACTTCATGTGTATACTGACTTCATGTGTAAGTCAACTTCATGTGTTTGATTACTTCATGTATACATTTTCATGTATACATTTACTTCATATGTATACCTTCATGAATACCTTCAGTCAACTTCATGTATTCATTGACTGCATGTATAAGTCAGATTCATGTATATGTTGACTTCATGTATTCGTTGACTGCTTGTATAAAACAAATTAATGTATATGTTGACTTCATGTGTATGTTGACTTCATGTATGTCATCTTCATGTGTAAGTTGACTGCATGTATAAGTGAAATTCATGTATACATGTGTACGCTGACTTAATGTGTAAGCTGACTTCATGTCTTTGTTCATGTATACATTGACTTCATGTGTATGTTGACTTCATGTATATGTTGACTGCATGGATAAATCAAACGAATATATACGTTGACTTCTTTATATAAGTCAACTTCAATTGTATACTGACTTCATGTGTAAGTCAACTTCATATGTTTGATGACTTCATGTATACATTGACTTCATGTATACATTAACTTCACATGTAAGTCGACTTCATGTATTCATTGACTGAATGTGTAAGTCAAATTCATGTATATATTGCCTTCATGTATATGCTGACTTCATGTGTGAGTTGACTTCATGGATTTGTTCATGTATACATTGACTTCATGTATACGTTGATTGCATGTATAAAACAAACTAATATATACGTTGACTTCTTTATATAAGTTGACTTCATGTGTACATTGATTGCATGTATAAGTCAAGTTCATGTATATATTGCCTTCATGTATATGCTGACTTCATGTGTGAGTTGACTTCATGGATTTGTTCATGTATACATTGACTTCATGTATACGTTGATTGCATGTATAAAACAAACTAATATATATGTTGACCTCTTTATATAAGTCAACTTTATGTGTACATTGATTGCATGTATAAGTCAAGTTCATGTATATATTGCCTTCATGTATATGCTGACTTCATGTGTGAGTTGACTTCATGGATTTGTTCATGTATACATTGACTTCATGTATACGTTGATTGCATGTATAAAACAAATATATACGTTGACTTCTTATATATACGTTGTATACTGATTTCATGTGTAAATCAACTTCATGTGTTTGATGACTTCATGTATACATTGATTTCATGTGTAAGTCAACTTGTGTTTGATGACTTCAAGTATACATTGATTTCATGTGTAAGTCAGCTTGTGTTTGATGACTTCATGTATACATTGATTTCATGTGCACGTTGACTTCATGTATATGTTGACTGCATGTATACGTCAAATTCATGTATACATTGACTTCATTATATAAGTTGACTTCATGTCGACTTATATAATGAGACCCGCTAGACGCAGAGAAGGACTCACAATGGTCAGTGGATAACTCAACTCAGGTCTGTTGGGTTCATGTGTAAATCAACTTCATATGTTGACTTACACATGAGTTATATATAAGGTGAGTTTCGGAGAGGTTGTTTAGATGTCGGATACGAGGTGTTGACGATCACAGCAAGGCTGGGATTGGGAGCTCAAGGCTCAAGTCGCGGATGAGAAAAGAAGGGCTGAAGAGAAAGTACCTACCAGGAAAAAGACACATGGCGTCTGCCCCGCCCCCAGGAAGTAAAATAGACTTCGTCTGGTCAGCAGGAGATTTCAAACCATTTCTCAGAAACAAAGGCCACAGGAATGAGGTGCCGGTCGGAAGAGGAGGGTCTGCAGCAAGCAGAAAAATCGACTTGGGAGGCGCCCCATACGTGACGGACAGCAATGCAAGCCTGGGAAGGCCTGCAGCCAAAACAACAGCTTTTATCATATTGTATTTTGAAGAGGGAAGGGATGAATGGGGATGGGGGGAGGGAGAGAGACTTAAAATAATGCTTTGAATGGGTTTTATTGGTTTCTGCAAGGGAGCCCTTTGCCAAGAGGTAACAATGGGGACCTCTGAAAGCCCTTCTCCAATTTGCTTTGTTGTTTTTTTAGAGAAGGAGAAGAAGCCAATACATTAACTAAGTAGCAGCACTCAGCTATCTCAGGTAGTAAAAGAAAATGGAAATGATTGTGTTCCTTGTATGTCCCTGCGCTTTGTTTCTGGCTTGGAGATTGGCCAAGGCAATCAATAGCAGCTTCCATATTAGTATGGCAGTGAATCCATCTTGGGTTTGAGTCCAAACCACAAAGGAGATGTTCAAAGTATCAAAGGGGGTTCAGAATCTTGGGTTTGAGTTTAAACCGCAAAGGAGATGTTCATTGGGTTTGAGTCCGAACCACAAAGGAGATGTCCATTGGGTTTGAGTCCAAACCACAGAGGAGATGCCCAAAGTATCAAAGGAGGTTCAGACTCTTGGGTGTGAGTCTGAACCACAAAGGAGATGTCCATTGGATTTGAGTCCAAACCACAAAGGAGATGTCCAAAGTATCAAAGGATGTTCAGAATCTTGGGTTTGAGTCTGAACCACAAAGAAGATGTCCATTGGGTTTAAGTCCGAACCACAAAGGAGATGTCCATTGGGTTTGAATCTGAACCACAAAGGAGATGTCCAAAGTATCAAAGGAGGTTCAGAATCTTGGGTGTGAATCCAAACCACAAAGGAGATGTCCATTGGGTTTGAGTCCTAACCACAAAGGAGATGTCCAAAGTATCAAAGGAGGTTCAGAATCTTGGGTGCGAGTCCGAACCACAAAGGAAATTTCTATTGGGTTTGAGTCTGAACCACAAAGGGGATGTCCATTGTATTTGAGTTTGAACCACAAAGGAGATGTTCAAAGTATCAACGGAGGTTCAGAATATTGGGTTTGAGTCTGAACCACAAAGGAGATATCCAAAGTATCAAAGGAGGTTCCGAATCTTGGGTTTGAATCCCAACCACAAAGGAGATGTCCATTGTATTTGAGTCTGAACCACAAAGGAGATGTCCAAAGTATCAAAGGAGGTTCCGAATCTTGGGTTTGGAGTCCATACCACAAAGGAGATGTCCAAAGTATCAAAGGAGGTTCAGAATCTTAGGGACCTGCATTGAAGTTCGGCTGATTTATTAACTCTTTGGGGGAGAAGACACTTTGGAAAGCTCCTTTTGAGGTTGGTTGACTTGGGATCTGTCCTCAGGAAACCAATTGAGGTGGAGGATTCAGCATCTTGGATAAGTCATTCAAAGGTTGGTTGACCTATCACAGTTTTTGGACATTTTAGGTGGCTAGGAGTCCATAGTAAGACCCAGACCAGTTGCACTGCCCCATTGATATTAAGGGTGGACAAAACAGCAAAAATCTCTTCTGTTTTCATTTTGACTTTCAGGTATCTCCCGTTCTATTTTTGGGAAGGTTCCGGGAGATTAGGAGGGGGTTGTTCAGATTCGTAATTCAGGATCTGGAGTTCCTCCTGAAATTCGAAATGAAAACAAAATAGAATTCTGCAATTTTGTGCACCCCTATGGAAGCCATCAATTGCTAGCCAGGAGAGCACAGAATGCATGAGATTCATGCTCCAGAAACCCACCACCTCTCATGGTAAAATGAGTTAAGTTGGGCCAGATCCAAGAGGACGATGCAGAGACCAATAATTTCCACCAGAGCATCACCTTAAAATCATAATATTTCTATAGCATTGCAATGACCCACACCTAGCCAAATGCAGAGTTAGGAAGAGGAATGGAATGGCAGACAGATGGAAGACAGCACCACAATGGGGAAAGTAGAACAACCGATGCAACCAATGTCCACATGACTGCATAAAAAATGCACAAAAAGAGACACTCCATGAAATGGTTTTTAAATCCTTGCCAGTTAGCTGGCTATGTTTGGGTACCAGTATCAATGGATGGACCTCAACCTTCATGAAATGTCTCTGTTTGGGTACTAGTCTCAATGGATGGACCTCAACCTTCATGAAATGGCTCTGTTTGGGTACCAGTATCAATGAATGGACCTCAGCCTTCATGAAATGGCTTTGTTTGGGTACCAGAATCAATGGATGGATGTCAACCTTCATGAAATGGCTCTGTTTGGGTTCTAGTATCAATAGATGGACCTTAACTTTCATGAAATGGCTCTGTTTGGGTACCAGAATCAATGGATGGACCTCAACCTTCATGAAATGGCTCTGTTTGGGTACTAGTATCAATGGATGGATGTCAACCTTCATGAAATGGCTCTGCTTGTGTACTAGTATCAATGGATGGACCTCAACCTTCATGAAATTGCTCTGTTTGGGTTCTAGTATCAATGGATGGACCTTAACCTTCATGAAATGGCTCTGTTTGGGTACCAGAATTAAAGGATGGACCTCAACCTTCATGAAATTGCTCTGTTTGGGTTCTAGTATCAATGGATGAACTTTAACCTTAATGAAATGGCTCTGTTTGGGTACCAGAATCAAAAGATGGACCTCAACCTTCATGGAATGGCTCTGTTTGGGTACCAGAATCAATGGATGGACGTCGACCTTCATGAAATGGCTCTGTTTGGGTACCAGTATCAACAGATGGACCTCAACCTTCATGGAATGGCTCTGTTTGGGTACCAGAATCAATGGATGGACGTCGACCTTCATAAAATGGCTCTGTTTGGGTACTAGTATCAATGGATGGACGTCGACCTTCATAAAATGGCTTTGTTTGGGTACTAGTCTCAACGGATGGACCTCAACCTTCATGAAATGGCTCTGTTTGGGTACCAGTATCAATGGATGGACCTTAACCTTCATGAAATGGCTCTGTTTGGGTACTAGTTTCAATGGATGGACCTCAACCTTCATGAAATCGCTATGTTTGGGTGCCAGTATCAACAGATGGACCTCAACCTTCATGAAATGGCTCTGTTTGAGTACCAGTATCAATGGATGGACCTTAACCTTCATGAAATGACTCTGTTTGGGTTCTAGTATCAATGGATGGACCTCAACCTTCATGAAATTGCTCTGTTTGGGTTCTAGTATCAATGAATGGACCTCACCATGAAATTGCTCTGTTGGATTCTAGTATCAATGGATGGACCTTAACCTTCATGAAATTGCTCTGTTTGGGTACCAGAATCAATGGATGGATGTCGACCTTCATAAAGTGGCTTTGTTTGGGTACCAGTATTAACTGATGGACCTCAGCCTTCATAAAATGGCTTTGTTTGGGTACCAGTATTAACGGATGGACCTCAACCTTCATGAAATGGCTCTGTTTGGGTACCAGAATCAATGGATGGACCTCAACCTTCATGAAATGGCTCTGTTTGGGTACCAGTATTAACTGATGGACCTCAGCCTTCATGAAATGGCTTTGTTTGGGTACCACTATCAATGGATGGACCTCAACCTTCATAAAATGGCTCTGTTTGGGTACTAGTATCCATGGATGGACCTCAACCTTCATGAAATGGCTCTGTTTGGGTACCAGAATCAATGGATGGACCTCAACCTTCATGAAATGGCTCTGTTTGGGTACCAGAATCAATGGATGGACCTTAACCTTCATGAAATGGCTCTGTTTGGGTCCCAGTATCAATGGATAGACCTTAACCTTCATGAAATGGCTCTGAGGTCCATCCATTGATACTGGTACCTAAACAGAGCCATTTCATGAAGGTTGAGGTCCATCCGTTGAGACTAGTACCCAAACAGAGCAATTTCATTCAGCACCACTCAACAGGTTTCTGGAAACTATTCCTAGTTGCCACAATCCCTGTACACTGGAAGCTGGTAGCTTCCATATCAGGGATGTTCTGGATTTAATTCTAGATGTTAAGGCTTTGATGGTGCTATTCCACATCTGGAGAAAACTTAGAAAAGTTAATACAAAATCTCAGGTTCTACACCTTGGAAAGATTCTTGATCACTGAAATAAAATCTAAGACCAGAGTTACACCTCCACTGATACAAGAGCATGCAAATCTGTATCTATGTATTTGTTTCTATGTGCAATTTGAATGGATGTCCTGGGAGATGGAGGCCCTCTTTTCCTTCTCTAATTCTAAATCTAGACTCTTCCTACCAAAAACAACCCTGGATTGTTCAGGGAAGTTCTCCAGATGTTTGGGTGTGCAAAACATCTTAGGCCCCAAACTGTCATGAGCTCAGCACCAGGTTTTGTTGGGTTGAGATACCTCAAACCAAGAAGAAGATGACTGGTTGGAGTAAGTCAACTGTTAGTAGGCCAACCATAATATGGGTATTAGTGTTGAGGACAAGCGGACAAGATCTCATTTCTACATTACCTTCACAACATGGGTTCTCCCAGGGCCCTCCTTGTCAAGTTCTGGTGTGGGTAAGTGTGTATGTATGTATATGTATGTAAATATTAGGCCTGTGCGGTTTTGTTCGTTAATTCGTTAATTCGTTATTAATTCGTTAATTTTACCATTTCCGAAGCGATATTGAAACATATTTCCAAACCCGGAAGGGTTTTTAAATATCGAACCAGCAACCCCCATAGTTTTAACGAGCCTCCGCTCGTTTCGTTAATGGGGTGGAGGCTGCTGGAGTGCTGGTGCATGGGAGCCAATCCGGCGCTCCCAAGCAGTGCACCATGGGTCCGTGGCTGTCTCTTTTTGATTGGCCGGCGAGCCCTTTCAAAGCGGCTCCGCGCGGCCCGTAGCTTGCTGCAGAGGGCGAGGGAGTTTGCATTGGGTTGGCTTGGCAATGGCTGCCTGCTAGCAACTGGGATTGGATTCATTCCTTGCTGCTGTGAGTGCTGCTTGCTTCATTTTCTGTCTCTTGCATGTGTTTGGTC